TTTTTGATAAGTTAAGATTTTTATCTTAAAAATTATTGTCATTTTAGTTATAACAGACTAACTCAGTATCCACAGAAGCAAATTGCAAAGGTTTTTTTTTTAAGTGGTGAAAAAAAAACTCAGTTGAAAGATAGTTGCTTGGATTTTGTATTATGCTAGCATTACTTTTAATTAATGTGCATGGATCCGCCAGTCCCAGAAACAACTGTGATATCAGATTTAACCTAAATTCTTAAGTAGGTCAGTGGGTCAATAGGTTATTAGGTTTTAAAAAAATTAAGCTTCCTAATTTTTTTACATCAGGTTCTTGAGTTAGCTGATAAAAAATAATTATTAATTTTGTAATCAGGAAAAATTGAAAGGTTTTATTGTCTTTAAATTAATGTGAACAGTAAATCCTCTGTTACGTTTTTGTCCTCTGGAGTGTTCTTTTTATGTGTAGCTTCTTTATGTATCCTAACCCCACTACCATTTAATCACTTCTGACTCAGAGACCCTGTGCAGGGTTTCCAAAGCTGTAAATCTGGACAGGAGCACATCACCTGTGTTTCTCTCTAGGGGACAGGTTTTTTACGTGTAGTCAAACCTCAAACAATTCAAACCCATTGCAAAGTTGAATTTTATTCACAGCATATAGGACAGAGTAGAACTGCCACATAGGGTTTCCACGGTTATACATCTTTAAGGAAGCACACTGCCGCAGCGTTCCTACCACCAGCCAACATTTTGCTTTGTAGCTGAGCATTTAACCACTAAGCTACCAGGACTCCTTTATGTGTACTCAGGGCTCTGGTACTGAACAGCTTAAAGAAAAATGAAATACTTTTTCTGATTATGAAAGTAATGCATGTTCATAGGGGACAGTTTAGAAAGGATAGTTTAAAAACATATATAAGCTTACTCATAACTATAGTTGAGAACTTTGGTTTATTTAAATTTGTGTTTGAAATATTTTGATGTTTGTTTCTGTAATAGGACAGTTAGCTTCTCTAGTTTTACTATTCTAAATAATCAGTAAATACGGACCTTAGGACATGCTACTGCTTCTCAGAGTGAAATTACTGGGTCAAGCAGCATAGATGTTTTCAAGCTATTGACACCTCTTACCAAATTTTAAGAAACTAAAGAAAAGAACTTACTGCCATTATGTCAGTTAATTTCAGCTTATATCTGCATGACAGAGTAGAACTGCCTTTATCTCTTCCCACACCCTCTTTCTGTGCTCCGTAGCTCCACAGATGTGTCCAAACCAGAATTTTGATGACACTCTTGATTGAGCCCTGCTCTTCACTTCTGGTCATTTATCAGTCACTAACCTCTATCCAGTCATCTTTTGTAGTATCACTTACATTCATGTATTTCTTAGTATTCTTTTATATTATTTTGCCTTAATTTTTATTGTAGCTTACTTAACACTAATCTCCCTGACTGAAGTCTTACTGCCCTTAATCCAGTCCATCAGAGCCACAGTGACCTTTCAAAAGAAGAAAGAAAAAATCTGTTGATGTGATATTCTGCCTAAAGCCCTTCAGTGCCTTCACATCCTCATTATGAAATAGAAATGGTCTTCTCACCTCACCATTCTCATCTCTTATCATCACCTCTATTAACCCACCCTAGTCCTAGTGTTTTGCTCTGGGTTTGCTAAACTGTGGAGTCTTAAAATCAGTTATTTCTTAAATCTCTAGGCCTTTGCAGATGCTGTTCTTAAGGCATAGTTCACATTTCTCCCATCTCTTCGTTGGTGACCTCCAGCCTTCAAATCTCAGCTTAGGTGTTGCTTCTTCCAAGAGGCTTTCTGAGCTTCCTGGTATTTCTCCTATGTGTTCAATAGCACCTTGTGCACACCTCTGGTAAGCACTGCTAGAGCAGTGTCTCCCCATTTAAAAATGAGCATTAGCACAATATTGGACACTTGTATGTGGCATTCAATATGTAATTTCTGGATAATATATGAAGTTTAAAAAAATAATTTATATTTACATAGCTCAGTATTTACCCAATGTTTTGTTGCTGTCTAGCTAGCAATCATTTATTAAAAAATAATTTTATTGGGGGCTCGTACAACTCTTATCATAATCCATCCATCCATCCATTGTGTCAAATACATTTGTACATTTGTTGCCATCATCATTCTCAAAACATTTGCTTTCTACCTCAGCCCTTGGTATCAGCTCCTCATTTCCCCCCTTCCTCCCTGTCCTCCCTCCCTCACAAACCCTTGATAATTTATAAATTATTATTATTTTTTCGTGTCTTACACTGTCCGATGTCTCCCTTCACCCACTTTTCTGTTGTGCATCCCCCAGGGAGGGATTATATGTAGATCCTTGTGATAAGTTCCCCCTTTCTACCCCACCTTCCCTCCACCCTCCCAGTTCCTTTCTCGCCACTCTCATCACTGGTCCTGAAGGGATCATCTGCCTTGGATTCCCTGTGTTTCCAGTTCCTATCTGTACCAGTGTACATCCTCTGGTCTAGCCAAATTTGTAAGGTAGAATTGGGATCATGATAGCGAGGGGAAGGAAGCATTAAAGAACTAGAGGAAAGTTGTATGTTTCATCATTGCTACACTGGCTTGTCTCCTCCCTGTGACCCTTCTGTGAGGGGATGTCCAGTTGCCTACAGATGGGCTTTGGGTCCCCACTCCACACTCCCCCTCATTCACAATGATATGATTTTTTTGTTCTTTGATGTCTGATACCTGATCCCATCAACACCTCATGATCACACAGGCTGGTGTGCTTCTTCCATGTGGGGTTTGTTGCTTCTGAGTTAGATGGCCACTTCTTTATCTTCAAGCATTTAAGACCTCAGACACTATATCTTTTGATAGATGGGCACCATCAGCTTTCGTCACTGCATTTGCTTATGCACCTGCTTTGTCTTTAGTGATCGTGTCAGGAAGGTGAGCATCATGGAATGCCAATGTAATAGAACAAAGTGTTCTTGCATTTAGGGAGTACTTGAGTGGAGGAGGCCCAATGCCCATCTGCTACTTAATACTAAACCTATAAATATATGCACATAGATCTACTTCCCCATCCTGATATATAAATATATTTACATATGCACATGCCTGTATTTAGACCTCTATAAATGTCCTTTACCTCCACTAGC